AAAAAAAAAAAAAAAAAAAAAAAAAACTACTTATAAAAGTAATGATAACTCCGTATTTCCAGAATTAAACTGTCCCTCCTCTCACATCCTGTCCTTGGCCTTCTCTACCTTTGCAAGTACAAGCCATCCACTCAGGATGCCAGCTCACACCGAGGCTCCTACCTCCCCAGCCTTCCTTCCATATTCATCCAGTTTCATGTTCTGTCAAGTGCCACATCCTTGTCTGTCTCAAATCCCTGACTCATCTTCTCCAGCCCACGGCTAAGTCCCAAGCCTGGTACCCTGCGGTGATGTCCTTGTCTGCCTTCCAGCCTCTCTCTAATCTGCTCAAGGAAACTGTCCACTGGCGACCTTGGCCACAAAGAGAGCGACGCTACAGACCTGAAGAGGCACGCAGGCTCTGCCTCCCACCCGCCTTCTTCCTGGTGATGCAGGCATGGGGCTCCCCACTGCTCCCATTCCTCCAGGCTTTTGCCAGTCAATATTTGCTGAATGAATGGACAAATTCTGAATTCTCCCTCTCCTGAAGCCCCAATCTATCTACTTGAAAATCTTGCGTTTTAAATCTCAGGTTTGCTTCTAGTAGGGTACACTTTATTTATTTGCCACCCTGGGTGGCTACCCTTGGCCGCCTAAGGAGAGAAACAGTGTGCATGGGAGAGACCAAAGTCCCAAATCAGAACCTATACACATCTCTCCTTTAATGGACCCCAAAGCCCTGTGAATTAGGCATTCGTTCCTTTTCAGAAATGAACGGATACCTTGCTTTCGTCCATTCATATTCTAATGAGGAGACATTCTAGGGAAATGAAGACAAAGAGGCAGCTTCAGTTTCCACATTAAATATATGAGGATGGGTACCTTGCTTTCGTGTTTGTGAGTGGTGCAATTTGGGCATTTTTTTTTTTCTTTTAGCATGCCATTATGGCAGATAAAGCTTTTCTGTTTACTACTATGTAGCGTAACACCTGGATGTACCAATTCAGAAGCTGGTACACTGTTAAGTCAAAATTAACAACCGTATGTAACCGACAAGCATATTAACTGGCTTCCTCCAAATCAGAACGGATAGCCAAATCAGGCATTTGAAGTCAATCACGGGTTGGGATTTCTTGGAAAGCCAGCAAAATGATCCATTGCCTGACAGAACTACAGGAGGACGCTATGGGAGTTAAAAGCAACAAACAGGAAAAGATGAAAACAAGCGGATGAGAATGCAATTAAAAGGCATCCCAACAGAGGATTTGGAATAAAAAGAAACCAAGAGACATGAATTATCGTTATTGTAATGTAAACCTATTAGGCTGCTTAGCTTTTAATGCCAAAGTACTTCCATTAAAAATTAATTACATCTGACAAGTCTTTTATAACACTGATCTGAAAGAGGTAGTAATTTTGCTTTTCTGAACAACACAACTGGACAGGCTCCGAAACGGCTGCAGCTGGGTCTCAGTCACAAACGGGACGCTGCAAAGGAGATGCCCAGAACCTGCCCCTGTCCTGGGGGGGGTGGCCCGGCATAGCATCTTCTCAGGATCAGCCACTGGGCCAGGCTGCGGCCACTGGGGTCTGTCTGTTGACTTCACATTTATCACTACCTGCAAATCAAGCACAGACCTAGAAGGTTGGAGCGGCAGGACGTCACAGGGACATTTATGGTACGCGCGCTCTTCTGTATGCATGTTTACCTCGATCAACAGATTTAAAAAAAAAAAAAAAAGGAACCAAGTGAAGGAAGAGTGACTCCAGAAAGAGCTCCTGGCAGGCTCGCCTCAGTATGTTCCCTCCAAGGAGACAATCTGGATAAGAAGGAAAAATACCCCTTGCTGAATTTAGTGAATGCCTTTCTTCCAAGGATCTTAAAGCATGCCCCACCTTGTTAAAGATAAATCTGTTTTTCAACAAATCAGTCTTAAGCTCTGAAATAAGCCACTCTGCGGATGCTCTAACTTTTAGATAGCTTTAAGTTCCACTGGGATCTTTCATGTGTATTTAACGCCGAAAAACTTACCTTGTAGGGTGTTAAAGATTGCAAAGAGATACATGAAGGTGACGTTAACTGGTCCCCAGGCAAAGAAGGCAAAACCCCAAGTAATGCCCAGCAAAAACGTGAGGCCGGCAACACTCCTCAGGTCCTGAATACTGGTTTTTCGCTGGGCTCCGAGTTGTTTCTTCTTTTTAATTCGACAGAGCTGAACCAGGACCACAATGAACATGCTGATGTTCAGCAAGAATATCACACAGAAATATCCCACAACTGTAATATAGAATACAGCATTGCTGTTGATCCAGCAGCTGGAATTTAGGGGGGGAAAACAATGGGGAACGTATTACAGTGCTGCAGCATGGTTCAAGAGGATACAATGAATCTATATCGTTTTACTGAAACATTTCCTAAAAGTAGAAGAAGGAAAAAAAAGATAAAACCACTGTTCTCCAACAACCACTGAAAGCTCTAGGGAAAAAAGAACTAACAGTCTATTTTAGGACACTTGGTTATACAAGTATTTAAAAGATATTCTTTGAAAACATTCAGGATTTTACCCCCTTTACATACTAGTAACTCTATTCCATGAGTCTTTACTAATGTAATATAGCAGGTATTTCATATGTATCAGAGGCTTAGAAAATTATTTTCAAAACACTTTTTTTTTTAGAGAGAGAGCAAGCGACCATGAGCAGGGGAGGGAGACAGAGAGAGAGAGAGAGAGAGAGAGAGGATCTCAAGCAGGCTCCATGCTCAACGTGAAGCCCGATGTGGGGCTCGATCCCACAACCCTAGGATCATGACCTGAGCTGAAATCAAGAGTCAGGTGTTCAACCGACTGAGCCACCCAGGCGCCCCACCCATTTGTTTTTGTAATACTTAAGTAGTAAAGTAGTAGCATGGCATTTTCAACTAGCTTATCTCATTCCATACATAACTGGGAAGGCTGCTACAAGTGTTACTGGATTTTGTTAGGGTGAGAGTCAGGGTCGATACGCTTTCTTGGAGAATTCTGTTTTTCCAGTTCACTTCACATTCCCTCCGGGGCTTTGTACTCACAAGTCATCCGGTGAGCCATTAGGGAATTTCCCATAGGATCCAAGGCCATAGTTATTTGGAGATATAGCCAGGACGACGATCACAACCACAGCCGGTACCCCTGGAAGATGGGAAACGTCAGTCACGCATACTTCTAATAACCAAGGTGCTGAGGAGAAAGACTACAGATCACGTGCTATTTTCCTCTGGTAGCAGACTGGTGAGCTGTTCACCCAAGCCACTTTCTCTTCCTCCTGGGCACACGGTGGACATCTCCCAGCCTGCTTTGCAGCTAGGTGTGTGTGGCCGCATAACTAGGTCTTGGTCGATGGGATGTGGAAGATTTGCTCCACCTCTAGGCCTGCCCCATAAAAACTTCCTGTGAAATCCTCTACTCGCTTTCCTCCCAAATTCAGGGCACCTTTGGAAGTCCTGTCTTGAGGCAGAGTCTCCAGCAGCTTGGATCCTGAATAACGGCAAGGCCAGAGACTTCTCCACTCCTGCTGACTGGACTGTGCATGAGAAATTATCTTCTCCTGAGACTTTTTGTCGGCCACACAGCTAGAGTTTCCCTTAACTTACACACATCTGGGATGTAATTTTGAGTCTCAGGTGGCAGGCAAAGGGAAGGACTCCAAAACGTAACCCAAATAATCCACATATTAGGGTTACCAGCGACTCCTGGCAGATCTTACATTATGAACCCCAAATCTTCAGTTGATCATCTGGAACCCATTGATGGATTGAGGAGCAGACCTGGTTGATTTGAGGATGCTGACTACAGTGGCTCTCCAAAAGGCCTGCTGGCACTTCCACTAAGAGAAAGCATGAGAAGGCTCTTCCCAGCTTAAAATGGCGTTTGGCTGGGAAGGAGTCCCTCCCATCCCCCATCCCGTCACCTCTCACTCCAGTCACCGTGGACATCTCACACTTTGTGCACACAGACCGACCTGACATCCAATCTCAAGGCCCTGGCAAATACAAAACAATTTCTCCTCACAGGTTGGGGTGCCTGGTACAATCTAACGTAGTATTTCATTTAATTCTTTTCTATTTGCACCTTACAGAGACACTGACATGTGATGGCTTCCTAGGTGAGACACTTGCCTAAAAATAAAATATCAGGGTTGTGGAGCTCGTCTAGGACCTTTGGGAATGCGGCCCTTTGGTATTCCCAAAGACAGAATCCATGCCCAATGTCAGAAGTGGGGACTTACTTTTCTGGGGAGAAGTGACTTATCTTTCCGGAAAGGTGTTCTGTTATTCTTGACAAAGACAGAATGGCAGGTGCAGTGACAAGGGCGGTAAGTGGTAAGGTTTTTAAAAGCCCTCTCGGTGATTCTAATGTGCAACCAATGTTGAGAACCACTGCCTTAAATTCACCACATCAAGGAGGGAAACTGAGAGTCAGACGCTCCAAAGTAGCAGGTGACACCAAAGTTATGGACGACGTGATCACAGGTGTATAAAAATATACGTAGGAAAAGCTAGGGAGTGAATGAATGAAAATACTCACAGGGGTTCCCAGTGATTGGCCTGCCTACTGTCAGTACAGGCAGTATTTTGTTTACTTTTCCTTTTTTTTGTTTGCAGCATTTTCCATACTTTATTACAATCAGATAAAATTTGTATTTGAACAAAAGGAATATGTAGCCTGAAAAGGGGAGTGAGTCTGGGCGGGATGGTGGCCATAATTCAGTGGAAAGGAAATGCGTAAGAATACAGGAAGCCAGTCTGGGCTGTTGTCAAGTTGTGTGGATTGGGTAAATCACGTTACCACTTTGAGCCGGTTTCTTCACCCGATGTTAGTAATAACGGCCTTGTGCTAACCTCACTGGCTCGTGTTTCATGGGGTTACTTGTGTGAAAATACACTGAAAAGTAGGGCATTATTCATAATGTTATATACTACTTCTAGATTATCTACAAGGCTGTTCAGTCGAGAGGTGTTAGCTGATAATTTTTTCGCCATAGAGAGCAGAAACAAGACCACTGGTGCCAACAGAGAGCCAAGTGAATTTAATGACAGAGCAGAACTGTAGGGCTTTACAACATGGTTATTGGCTGCCTTGTAAGGTGTTAAAAACAAGACAACAGGCCTAAAATTGGGTCACTTATGCTAAGCCCCAAGTCATGAACCCGAGACTTGACTTAATTAGTTTCAGCTCTTCCAGAAAGGGCATCCTAGACCAGTCAACCAGGAATCGTGTTATCAGTACTCGTTAGGTAATCTGCCTGACAGACACCTCCGTCATCCCCTAAAGGAGAATAACCTTGTAATAATCAACCCGCTTTTTTGCCTAGCATAACTTGCTTGTTCCTGTTCCCTTCAGTCTATAAAAGTCTCTCATCTTGTACAGTTCCTTTCTATCTGCATCTTTGACTGGGTGCTGCCGATTCATGAATCACTGAAAAGAGCCGATAAGATTTTTAAAACGTAGTCAGTTGAGGGGCACCCGGGTGGCTCAGTCGGTTAATCGTCCGACTTCGTCTCAAGTCGTGATCTCACAGTTCATGAGTTCGAGCCCCACATCAGGCTC